AGGGATTGACACCACTTTCTCTTCTCCAAACTGTTCTGGATTCTGTGCCTGGAAGTCAGGAAAGCACCTGAGCGCTGCTGGAACCTGGGATTTCACTGGGAAGAGAACCGGGAGCAGGCAGGGGGCAGCTGGGCTGTGCCTCACACCCCTCCTTGGCTCCAGGGGGTCTCCTCTCTGTGTCCATGCTCCTGGCCTTGTACCATGGATGTTCCCCAGGACAGAAACCGGTCCCCTGCACTGTACCTCTTTTTAGCTGCCTTTGTCTGTGCTGTGTCATCTCCCTGCTCTTTATTTAATAGAGAGCAGGCAGCCGAGACAGAGCTGAGATGGAGCTGCTCATTCCTGCCTGGTGCTGAGGAGCAGGAGCTGTGATTTCATCTCGGGTTTTGTGTGCTATTTCCAGCATATTGTTGTCCCTGTTCCTGCCTCCCCTGTGACGCCTGGAGCGGTGGGAATCGTTGCTGCTCCGGCTGGTGGTGCCGCCTGCATGGCAGGCTGTTCCCAGCTCAGCCTTGCAGCCCCTTTGCTCACGGTGGCTGGCACGGCAGGACTGCCCCGTGCTCATCTGACCTAACGTTTAGGTGAGTACAAGAGCTTTTCCTCTGAAGGCAGCGGCTTCTTTAGGAGGTTTCTCTGTCAGGCTGGTGGCTGCGTCTCTGCTTTAACCTGCTCCTGGTGACAGCAAAGGAATGTGTGGGCATTTGGCAGATGATAATGGGAGCAGTGATGTTCCGGAGCACAGCTCCTGATGGGGATGTGATGGGTGTCCTGGCTCTCACCAGTGCTGGAAACCTGGAGTCATGCTGCTCAAGTCGGCAAAGCTGAGGGTGAGCTGGTTGTGGCTCAGGTGAGCTTGGGATGAGAGGCCAGGAAGAAGTGCTGTGGTCTCCTGGATCTTGGTGGTGTTCCTGATGTGAACATTGCTCCTGAATGAGGGTTTGAGCAGGTGATGCTCTGTGAGTGCTGGAGGCTTTTCAGAGCAAGTGGGACACCATCAGTTTGTATTGGGTTGGATCTGCCTCAGGCTCAGTGAGGATTTAGGGGTCTCCTTCTGTTTCTAGCATGTGTCATGTCATATATGTTGGATAAATAGCCCTGAGGTCCCCCTGGATGGAGGGGTTATATGTGCAAGCGTGGTGCACAGTGATGTCTCAGGATGGATATCGTCAGTCTGAGCATTAAACATGGAACATCTGGGAATGTCTCTGTGGCTTTTCATCTTCTGGGGCCTTTTTGCATTGCCTTCCATTTGGAGGGGTGTCAACAGGACCCCTCCTCACTCTGTGCTCATTGCAATGCATTCTTTAGGGTAGTGCATGAACCTAAAGGACACCCTGATGGCTGGAGGGGCAGCTTTCTGCTCCAGCTGGGTTGTGTGCTGGCCTCTGCACCTGAGGGAATTCCAAACCTGGAATGGCAAAACTTCTGTGGGGTGAGGTAGGAAGGAAGGGGAAAGCAGTGACCAGCACTGAGATCACTCTCCCCACTTCAGTCCATAGAGCAGTCTCATGCTCACCAGTGCATCTCCTATGAATCCCAAATCACGGCAGGTAATAAATGCTCCACAGCCACTTGGCAAAGACCTTTTGGGAGGTGCTGTGGGTGCTGAGCTGCTTGCTGAGCCCTTACAGCCCGGGTTTCTGTGCCCTGGAGGGGGCTCAGCACTGTGCTGCCATCTCCTCTGATAGAGAAGCAATTACCATTCATTTTGAGTTTAATGTAGCCATTTAAGGAAGGAAAACTGTTAATGCTTCCAGTGTGTTTGGGATAATTAAGTGATGATTCTCTCTGCCTGGGAGGAGACCACGGCTGCAGGGGAGGGGGTGCTCGGGCAGCGCATTGAGGCAGCTCCCAGCTCCTGCAGCATTGCTTTCCAGTGGGATTCAGGTGATGCTGGAGGGGAGGGAGACCAAGCGTGTGAATACAGGGCTTCAGACTGATTTCATTGTCTCTAAAGAGCGTGAAAGACAAGAACAGCGAGTTATCTGTGTGCAGCTGGATGGGGGCAGAGCTTTGCATTGCTGCTGCTAGGGTGGCTCTGCTGGCTCTGCTCTCTGGGACCACACTGGGCTGAATGGGCAGGTCTCGGCTCTGCCTGGTCCCATGAAGAACCCACAGAAACACTCCAACCCTCTCCAGGTGCTTTGAGTCACTTGCTGTGAGCTGCTAGGTTGAAAACAGACTTTTTAAAGCAATTTTAGACAATTAAGCTCAAGCTTTGGGTAACCTTAATGACAGCAGAGACACTGGCACCAGCAGCGAGCTGCTGCCTCTGTCGGGTGGTTGATGGTGTCTCATCCCAGGGCTGCACTTTATAGCTGAAGAAATTGAGGCACAGGGCAGGAGGATGAATTCTCCAGTGTCTGGATGCAAATGTGTCCTGGAAGCAGGAGCCAGCTCTGCTCTTCTTACCTGTAAACGTGCCAGTGGTGATGCATGAAAACTCACCTGGAAAGAGATCAGTGATTCATGAAAGCCCCAGTCCAGAGCTGCTTAAACTGCCCAAGCTCCCTGAGCTGATCCAGCTGTGGGCAGTGATGCACATCAGATGAGAAGGGATTGAAGGGAGAGACCAGCAGCTGGTGATCCGAGCTGTTGTCTGCCCCTTTCTCCTTCTTATCATTGCTTTGTGTTCCTTTGTGCTGTGCGCATGTGCCTGCTGCTGGAGGGATGCTGCCCAAGGAGGTGTTACTTATTAACCACCTTCTTGATGCAGTAAATGATGTTTAGCTGACTATTTGGGAGAGTAAGTGACAATAAAAAGCCCCGCTCAGATGGATTGGTTTTGGTGCCAGCTCACATGTGTGTGGGAAATGGTTTTGATGGATCTCAGCCCAGTGGTCTGAGACCTGTGATGCTTTTCCACCGCCCTCCTCTCATCCCACTTTCAGAGGAGACATAGGAACTAACATGCCCATGGGAAATGATGTCCCCTTCAGATGGGCCCTGCAGGCTGAGCCCCAAGGCAGGGATGAGGAGTCTGGGGGGTGATGTGTTGTACCTGTCAGAGGTAACAGCAGACACCCTGCTCTGAGGGATTCCTCTGTCTCCCTGCTCACCCGATGAACACAACGGGCATCCCCCGTGTGCTCCACACAGGGTGGGTCTGGGGTACAACAGCCCATGTGCCTTGTGTGCATACCCCTGGGGTGGATCTGCCCCACTGCTCCATGCTATGGTCCGTGACAGCAGCAGGATTCCCGCTGGGATCATCCCAAGCCTGACGGGTGGTGACAGGCGGCTGTAGGTGGCTGTTGCTAAGCTACAGGCGGTGTCTGCTCCGGCTGCCAGGGCTCGGGGAGCTGCAGGGCTGTGGGAGGGCAAGGGGGTGTCTGGGGGGGAGCGGGGCTGTTCGGGGGCCGGGGAGTCCTGCAGAGCCCACTGCGAGGAGGCTGTGCAGCGGAGAGGGGGGGACGGTGCTGCCCCAGCCCAGAGCTGCGCTTGCACAGAGTCTGCTGCCTTTGGGGCTGCTTCGGCAACCTCCAATGCTCCCGTGCGGGAGAGGCCGCTGCCCCTGCCAGGGTAGAGATAATCCTACTCGGTTTTAAGGGCGCTGAGTTACACAACGAAGGTGGAGATGCTCAGTGCAAACCACATCTTATTCCATGCTGGGCAAGCGAGCAAGCTGCTGCCTTTGTTCCTTTCTGTTTCCCCTCTCCCTGTCATCCTGCACTAAGGAATCTCATCTGGATGCTTGTGGGGCACGAGGAGGTGCATGGAAGGCCGCGGGTTTCCAGCAGGAGCCTCTGCCTCCCACCCCCGCGCTGCTCTGG